AATTCAATTATACAAACTTAGAATTGTATTTTTTAAAAAGGTAATTAAATACTCAAAACTCCTCATATCCTAATTATTTTACTGTTATTTATGCTCTTGGAATTACTTAAGTCTATTGTATCTCTGTGGTGGAAACACTACAAAATGGTAGGCTTCTATCCATCTCATCTCAACTGAGTACTGACCAGTGACATCATGGTGAAATCTGTCACACTGGAAGTATTTATAGCATAGAAATCAGCAAATTCAACAAATCAGGGCTTGATTTATTGCTTTCTTGACTGTCTAGACTTAAGAAAGTGATGGGAAAATGTTAATAATGCAGATTAAACTTAAAAGCATGTAGTTTCTGTTATTACATTGTAAATAGCACAAAAAATTGATTATTCTTCCAGTATTTGAAAACTATTATTCAATTCATCAAAGTGCTCAAGTCACTCACGAATGAGTGAAGCTCCAGCATATGTTTTTATTGTTTCACTATCATCTTATGCATTAAGGAAAACAAATTATCAACCAACATTCATGCCAGCACTATGTTCCTCCACCAAATGTAGTCATAGGTTGGCTACAAATATAAGAATTGAGCAAAAATCAGCAAAAGCATTCTGTGACAGTCCACTGGCTCTATGAAATTAACAATAGAGTATAGGATATTTTGTTATTTGTAAATTACATGCTACACATCCTTTATATCAGATTTATAATAAACTTGTATGTGAATGTGTATATTATGTGTATATTATACACACACACTTTGTTTTCATAAAAGTAGTTATTAACATATAGCAGCACACCACTGGTTATATAATCATCATTCATCAAATAGTACTCTTATAATTTGTGTACTTTTCTTCAATAAAAAGGCTTTTTATAAAGTCACTGCTCATTTGTATAGTCAATCAATCAACAGCTCTCAAAACAATACATCTCTCCAATCAGATATTCCTAGACTTACTCATCAGAAGAAAAGCATTCATAAATGGCCATTTGTTATATATAACTCAATGAAATACAGTCTTTTAAGATTAATAACTTTAACATGAGTTCAGTGAATATAATTTACCCACTTTAATCTGAATTCTATTTAAAAGAATATAGAGCTTTAATCATGAGATCACAATGGAAGAAGTGTTCATTTCACTCAGAGTAACTAACCATAAAGCTATAGTCTTAACAATACTTGAGAATCAGAGTTTTATGAATTAAACTTATTCTTTGCTATAATACAAAAATATTTCTTCTACTACCTAATATTTTAGACTATCCTTTTAAAATACAAAATTCATCTGTTACTTCTACATATATTTCTATACTGATTCTAAGCTTAAATAGCAAAATAATAATAAATCCGATTTTCCCAGGCGCTGTGGTCTATATGCTTATGTCCTTCCAAAAAACATGTCAAAATCTAATCTTCGATGTGTTGGTATTAAAAGGTAGAGCCTTTAGGAGGTGATTAGGTCATGAGAGTTCTGTCCTCACGAATAGGATTAGTACTCTTATAAAAGATGCCTAAAGGAGCCTGTTGGCCCCTTCTACCACATGAGGACACATAGAAATGCCATCTATGAAAAACAGGCCCTCACTAGTACCAAATCTGCCAGTGCCTTGATCTTGGACTTCCCAGCCTCCAGAACTGTGAGAAATAAGTTGCTATTATTTATAAACTACCCAGTCTAAGGTGTTTTATTATAACAGCCCAAACAGACCAGGTACATTCAAGTAAGACTTAAAAATACAGCTTAAAGGTTAATTTAGTCATCTGACTCCCTCGTGACAATGAGAAAATAATTAACTTAAAGCCAGGACCTACATTTATTAAAGTTTGTACTTCTACGCCTAGAAGTATGACTGACACAAAGTGCACATTTAATAAAGATGTGTTAAATGGGGTAGAAATTGGTCTTATGGATGACCCTATAGACCTCAGGGGGAAAGAAAACTACAAAGCCTCAACAGATCACTATGCAAAGTGATTGCTACTTATTGATAAACAGCATTTCAAGCTGGGACCTAACCTGAAGCCTGTTAGCAGTTTAAAAAAAAAAAAAAAAAAAAGACATAATCATTCTCAGAAAATAAACTTGTCCTCTTGTAAGAAAGACATATTCATGATACATTAAAACAAGATAGTAAGCATTTTCAAATAAGAGGCTTCATAGCATAATGATTAAAAGCTCAGGTATAACAGCCACACAAGGTTCAAATCCTAGTTTCACCATCTACTTGCAGTTAAGACTTTAGCGCCTCAATTTCTTCATATGTAAAACAGAGAAAATAATGCTGTGCTCACAGGATTGTGTAAGGATCAAACAAATCAACATATGTAAAAAACCTCAAAAGGGGCGTTTTTGTTGAAAGCTTCAAAAAAGATAAGTATGTTCAAGGAAGAGTAATATTGCTGCTACTGCTATCATTAGTTGTTCTATTATACAGTTCTCAACACCAAATTAAAAATCCAAATATACCAGGGATCTTGGGTAAAATATGTCTAACTTCTCTTATCCTCACTTTTTTTTTACATCTATAAAGTTAAGTGGTTGGAGTACAGCAGCAGCTTTCAAAATTCTGATCATGACATAAAATAATAAATGCATGTGAGATTATTAGCTAGTATACATAAACATGTTTATATATCTAAATTTTTTAATATATTTATATAACTATATTTTTTTCTCAAAATAATACTGTTCTTACTATGAGAAATAAACTCTGAATTTTCTAGTCTATGCTACTTCAATTTTTTTTAAGCTGGTTGCAATGTACAAAACCAATCTTACAAAAAAACAAACACTGGGGACTACAATACCTCTGAGGACATCTCCAAAACCCATTTTTGAATTAGCTTTCAACAGAAGTGGGTATCTATCAGTTTCACCTAAGCTGTCTTAAATGCTAACACAGCCCTCAGTGAGTTTTAGGAATTCTAGTATTCTAATAAATATTCGAGTGGTTAGGACAATCATAACTGAGTCAAATACACCTTCCAAATGCTAATGAAGTTTTCATTAGTTTGTTTTTTAAAATTGTAGTCCCTTTTGTTTCCTCAGTGACTCAGAAAATCTCTTTTACCTCCAAACAACTACAGAGTTGGTTTTTTCCTTAAATAAAAGGCTTATTTTCCAATGGCATTCTGAGTACTTACATATGTCAATGAAAGAATAATTAGGATTTAAAAAATTATTTGGAAATATTATAAATGAAAGACAATTTAAAATCTCCAATAAAATGTACGTAACATTTAATAAATGTTTGCTTATTTGGTTCTTTGCTTAAGAGTCATATTTAAAAGCCAGCATTTATTTAATAGTTATGGATCTCTTTTTCCAAATCCAAGCCAGATTTTTAATCTAGCTTAGTAGGTAAGGATACTATATAATAGGAAAACTCTTAAGATAACAGGAAAAAAAATGTATAACTTTACAAATTCCATTCTTTCAGCCTCCATCTTTACTCTAGGACTTTTAGCAAGTTACTTTAGCTCTCTGTACCAGTTTCTTCATCTGTAAAATGGGGAAAATAAGATAACCTACTTCATAGGATTATTTCATGAATTATTGTGTAATCACTCTGAATGGTGCCTAGCAAAAATGCAGCCAATAAACCGAGACCACGGTTCTTCTCTTTTGTTATATGAAATTAAAGACTGAAAGTTCCTCACCCTGTCCTAAAAGTTTATCTAAAAAGCTATTCACAAAGTGAGGGTTGGATTTCAGCCCCTATTCTCTAAAATGCAAACCAAGGCTAGCTGCACAAAAAAGAACAGAAGAAACAAAGATGATATTTAAGATATAGATTTTCAAGTATCCATTTATGTGGCTTTTGATAACAGAGGAGAACCAGTTCAATTTTATCAGCAGGAAAAATTTATTTATTAGTACCCTTCACTAATCCCAAAAAGGATCTGAGACAGAATCACTACTGTTTTATGGCATAAAAGCTCCACCGAATTACAAACATAAAAAAATATAATTCATTTTCAATGTCCTAGTGAGGCAGAGAGGTAGAATATGTCTTCAGATCTATCCCATGAAAAGAAATGCTTAGAAAACACCAGTTTTATTCTATCATGGTCTAAACATCCATAAGGCCTACGAAGTTGGTCTACTTAGAGTCCAATACTAATCAAAATTACATGTAATAAAAATATTCAAATGTAGTATACATTTTGAAGGACAACTTATTATCAGTTATAAGTCATATTTTCATTATATGTATCATGATATGAATGTGATTACAGATCCAGAATTCCTAATGAGAAAACTTCTTTGTGGCAATTCAATTACATCATCATTCATTCATGACATCACAATGGAAATGGGAAATACTATCACTAAAAATTTTGGTCTTTTCACTAAAATCAAGGCTAAGAGATGCATCAAATCATCCTGCTAGTTCCTTACTCTGTAAGATTATCTTCAACCCATTGTCTTAAAGTCCATTTTAAGGGAAGCACAGAATTTCCAGCCAGTACTATGTTCACTCACCGATCAATTTCCTAGATAAGTAAACGTGCACAATGAATCCTAAGGAAGGAATATTTTCTCACTAAGGAAAAAAAATCTTGTTCTACTCTACGATTTATGGATGAATCAAAGGTATTTATTTTTTGCAGTAGTAAATCACATTCCTTATCTTACTCTGTGAATATATATCTCTACTTTCTTACAAGTCTTTTCCCTACAATTGTTTTCATTTATTGTTCATTTTAATTCAGAATATTTGTTAAAATATTTTCAAAAAAATTTTAAAACTCTATTTTGAATATTGCTACAAAGGATCCATTTTACTAAATATTTTTAACGTGGGTATATACATTATTCTGAAGTTATTTGCATTGCAGCATGGCCTTCGAAATACAAAGAAGGCTTAGGTTTTGAATCAAGACTTTTTTTTAACTCTTCCACATCAAAACCTTGAAAAGTCAACAAAAATCATAATATTCACCAAAAGTCATGGGCTTCAAGTTAGCGAATTACAAAGAAACAGAGTCTTGCCTTGTCATCTCTCCCTCTTGCTCTATAATCCTTGTCCCTACTTGTAGAAGGTTTTTCACTCTTTGATATAGGATGTGTTCGGCCTACAGGTCCCCGGGCGCCTACGCCTGCCATTTCTTTCCTCAGCGGTCTTACTTCTCGACTGGGACGCCTGATCTGGGGTGGAGCTCTGACAAAAAAAAATAAATAAAGTTAAAACTAAAATTAATCACAGGCAAAAGTATTTCAATACTACTTTAGTCAATAAAACTGTTAAATCAAGAAGCCCCAAATCTTGTTTTTCCACCTTTTGCCAATTCATGGCCACAACTATTAGGTTAGTTTTTAAAAATTCTTTTCTCTAAAATGTACTGGCTGATACAATTATTAAATACATATAAATGACACATATGGTAGCAATTATTTTGTCAAAAGTAACTATTAATCACCAATAGAGGGCAACACAGACTATTCCCATCTAATAATCTTAATAGTGTAAGGAAAAGTCAACAATTTTATTCATTATTGTCCTAAACCAAGAATAAGCAACTTTAAAAAAAAAATGCATTAAAAGCTGAAAGGGCAGAAATTCAAAATATGTCTATCTTCAGTTTACTAATTTATTTATTTATTTTTTTACAATCAAGATGATTTTCTCTGCTTCTGTACTGGAAAACTCAACATTTCATTCATCAAATTACAAATGACAGGGCTTAACAATTACTTTCTTATAAACGAAGTAACTTATATGTAAAAATATTCATGCTTTGCAGGTGTCTAAAATCAAAGGATGGTTCCAATTACATAGGCCTCCAAATGTGATTAAGAATTTTGATAAATATATAAATGTAACTATACAAAGTGGCATACTTTGTTTCATGTCATGTGAACCATGTCTCCTTCAAATGGTCAAGTTTTGAGGTTCCTCAGTAAGTATCTGTCTCTTTTTGGGTCTTGGGTAAGACACTGTAACTTCATATCTAATCTTAGTTCTTTTTTCTTGAACTGTTTCTATCTCTATTTTCCTACCTTTTCTCTCTCTACAGTTGTGTCTGTATTTGTAGATCCCATATGTGTATTCCTTTTTCATCCATGTGCCATATCTATTATGATCCCCCTTCCAGCCTCACACTTTTAATTCACCTAACTCATCATGGAGTTTTCGTTCCTGGTATGAGAAAAGATGACACATACACATAATTCAATGAATCCAGCAAGACAAGAAAATGGATGAAAAGCCATGAAAGTTGCAAAGTAGGGACAGAAAAGGTTAAAAGGTGTTAACCTGTTGCAAGTCTTATATAGCATATTCAAAATTATTGGAATTAGACCTACATCATGAAATTGCTAAAGATAAGAAAAGCTGGTGAAAACTGTATGTCTATTACCATACACTGACATCTTAATCACTGGAGTCCAGTCCAGTTAAACAATTATTTATTGAATACCCATTAGGTGATATACAGTCTCTACTATGATGGCCTTAGAAGGAGACAAAGATAAATAAGGAATCTTGTGAAAGAAATTCACAGGAAAGGAACTAGAAAATAGTGCATAGTAAGATGGCTGTAAGGCATTTTGAAATTTAAAGTATTATTACATCACTGGTTCTAGGGTATTAGTAGTCTTTTAAGCATTCTGTCAATAAAATCAAAATGTGATAAGACTAGTTAAAAAATAAAAAATTTAAAATGTTACATTACTGTTTCTAGTATTTTCAATGTAACCACCATTTTCTGACTTAACTTTTTTTCGTTGTTTTGATGAAGCCATGGAAAGTAGTGGAGTACAACTTTACTTTTATTTATATGTATTTGTGGATGTATAAATGTCTTTTCTGAATCAGATTAATGGGTATGGCCAAAGATAATGAGACCGAAAATCTCTTCCACACAGAACATGTGTCAAGTTTCCCCTTTTGTTAGCAGCTATGCCTGCTATTTAAATACTCTGTCCTTGTTTGGGGTCCTGCTTTTTAGACTCAACACCCGGCCTGAAGCCTTTGCTCACAAACAGCAAGCCCATCCCTTACAGCGGCATGTCAGGCTGCTAGTCAGCTGCTGGGCTTCCCAGTGAGACCTCATTGCTTAGGGGTGAACTACAGCAAAGCTTGAGACGTTTCTCCTGCCTTCTCAGCTGTGCTTTCCCCACCTCGGCATGCTATTTAATAGTCACTTAGGAGTCCTGCTGTAGTCCATTGTGCACACATACCCAGCTCAGTAAAGCTGTGTTATGGAAGAATTATTTCAAAGCTGTTCATAGGCTGCATTTCAAGTGTTTGCCATTGCTGACCTTGTCCTGCCACTCAGTATTGTGATGGGCTCATAAATGGTCTGAATGAAACTGCTCAAGAAGCCAGATGTGCCATTTGTGGCGAGTCCCATGTCTCACAGGAAGTGTGCCTGTGCTCTGCAAGTCTTCAGTTCCATCTCACTGCAGTTTGATATTACATTCGTAACAGACTCTGTCAACTTCCCAAAGGACATCCTTGATTCTGTTCCATAACTTCGTCCACTAGTGCATCACTGCACAATGTTATGCTTCAATTTAAGAACTCAGTGACAGCTTCCAGGCTGTGTAAATAATAAAAGTCTCAAGGCTTATTTTACTAGTCTGTTTTTAAAAAAAGACTTTAGTAAGGTTACACAGCATCACTGACCTCTGCTCTAAAGGTCAAACAGACTGATACTGTACTATAGCACTTCAAATATAAAGAATAACCAGTTTGACTTGCAGATAAAAGACAAAAATGTCTACACTGTGCTCAATTCTCCTATTTGAGATTTCCCTATAGGAAGGGAGAAAAATATGCCTTATTTTATCACATGCAAATAAGCCTGATTTCCTCCAAATTCCAATACTTCCTCTTTCCAAGCTATATCAAATATCAGTATTATATATAAATGTTCTTATCAGTACTGCTTGTAATAAATACCTGAAAATAATCCAAATATTAATTACTGATACATAAATTAGTAAATATTCACATAATGGAATATAATACAAATGTGAACATGAATTACGGCTACATGCAATAACCATAAATGAAATCTCAGGACCATAATGTTTACTGAAAAAGCAAGCTGAAAGCATCCTTCTGAAGACGCCTTCATTTCATGCCATATTAAGAAATAGGGTCTAATTTACTATTATAATTTTCTCCAATAGATAGATATAAAAGGCTTCTTCTGAGGAGCTATTGCACTCTTTCTACTTCCCCTACCTTTCTGTTTGATGATGATTTAAAATTCTTTGGTTACATCTATTTGCCCATACATTGTTAGAATTCTGGTATTATTTAGAGGAAGTAATTTGGAACAAGTACAGTTTTTGCCCAAAACATAAGCCAGATTACGTAAAGTTAGCTTCTGGAAAAGAAAGATAACCTAACCTAGCTAGTCAGGCTGCTAGTCAGCTGCTGGGCTTCAAACTAGTCTATATAACTTTAAAATAAACAAGAAAACACCTCTCTTCATAGCTAATAAAAATATAAGAAACACAAATTCTGAGGCCGGGCACGGTGGCTCACGCCTGTAATCCTAGCTCTCTGGGAGGCCGAGGCGGGCGGATTGTTTGAGCTCAGGAGTTCGAGACCAGCCTGA